AATATTCTAACCAATAATATCCCCTATCTCTTGGATGTTCAAAGAACTTCTCATTTCAAGTACTAAAGTCAGCAAATAATTTGGAAATTACAATATTTAACTCCTAATGGTCAAACCATTTTGAATAGAAAGGAGGCTTGCTATCCATTAAAAATAAGCTTAATGATACAAAAGCATATTAGAAAGCAATTCCATCCCTAAGAAAACATAATATAATGTTTGTAGACCAACTAATTGACAAAGACATGAGAACGATACTATCCTGAAAAATCATTCAAATTCTGTCTAAAACCAGTAAAGGATCAATACCATTATAGTACAATAAAATCCAAGTAACTCTTGCAAACAGATATAATATCTTAAATAATAGATGGCAAAATTGAAACTGGAAGGAGCAAAATAGAAGATTTTTCACAAATAATCAAAACAAAGACCGACACCGATAGAGTTGGAAAATCACAAATACAGAAGAAACAAATGAACAAATCACTTGGTATAGAAGCAAAGAAAACTTAGGTCATCAGATCCCATATGTAGAGATCTATAAGTTGAAGACAGGATCCAAACCAGACTCAGTCAAATTTCAAAGAGTTCTAGACAGTATTCAAACAAATTCCAAAAAAGAAACAAGAAATCCCTTGGATAGAATAAACCCTCGTGGAGGCAACAAAAGATTAGAGTTCTAGTATGTAATATTCTTAATCAATACCCATTATTAAGAAAAACAGATGAACCAGAAATTCCAATTAGTATATATGTGCTAGAAAATCAAGCCAGAAAAGAATTGGAACACTTTAACAAACAAGGAATTACCAACAACTGCCTTATGGCAGTTGAAATAAAAGAATTGGGAGTATCAATAATTAAAAAACACATCCAATCCCCAGAATACACATAAGTCCTAATAGAAGAATATAGAATAAATAAAGAAAGTGACTTCCACTAGCCTTACTGTTTCTATATAGATAGATTATATGGAAGAGCAAGAGATCAAATATTAAAAATGGGAGCTGCTTAGCTACAAGAAAGAAAACTGAATTCAGGAAGATTCTTTCAAGTGAAAATAGACAACTGGCCATTAGTACTCTGAGTAGAACTAGTAGCGATTATCTTAACACTTCTGATTATACTCCAAAAAAATCAAATAAAAATTCGAACAGATAGTACAATCTGTATTAATACCCTACAGAAGCTCCTAAATTCACAGGTTAGAGATACAAGAAAAAGAAATAGAAAGTGCAAAAATTGATAGCTGTAGACAAAATGTATAGACCTGATTTACAAAAAACAAATTACAATCAAAATAACCAAAGTAAAAGTATATGACAAAGATAAAGCCAATAACAAAGTAGATCTTCTTGCCAAAGAAGCAAAAAAGGAACCCAAGATCATCTGGAATAACTGGTATCGACAAGAAGCTCTAATAACATTATGTTGAAACTGGATCCCTATAGATATCAGAATAAGAGATTTTGTTAAAGAAATATACAAAAAGAGTATCTTAACAAAATGGGCAAATCAGAACCAAATACAAAAAAAATGGGCTAAAGAAATAGAAGACCAAGAAAATTTTAATTGGAAAAGTTTTTGGGAAGCAAACAAAGTAGGAAGCTTCTTAACAACATTGCTTAAACAAGTCAAAGAAAAAGCCTTCCACATAAAACTGATACATAACGAATTACCAACCCTGGATAACATGATCAAAAGATTTCCTACAAAATATGAAAACCTAACCATGTGTTTATATTGCCAGCAAGAAGAAGAATCTTTTGAACATCTCCTGTCCTGCAACAGTATTTTAGAAATTCGTAAAGAAATATGGAACCAAAATCAGAATCAAATACTTAACAAATAGTTAGAAAGTATTCAAGTAGAAAAAATACAAGACAAGCAAGTCACCATATAAGATCTTTTGCAAAGATGGTATAGGAACAAATTCTCTACAAGAATAAATATCATAAACATGTACTTAGGACTCTTTTCAAAAGAAGACATTGTAGAATAAATCCAAACAATAACCAATGCTAAGATGAAAACCAACGAAGCGAAGCAACTACTAAAAAAATTTCAAGAAATATCTACAAGCAAGTTCAGAAAAGGATATGGAATGATAGATGTGTCAAGCTACAGGACTCCAGGAGAAAGCCTAAAATATGTAAATATAAAGGGAAAACCACTAGTGAAAAAGGAAGAAAGAAGCATAAGCCAAAAGACCAAGAATAGGAAAAAACAAATCCCAAAACATCGCAAGACAAGAAAAAAGACTTCAGCTCTCAGACCCAAGACAAAGTCTCAATTTGGGATTGGATTAAAGAAGAGAAAAAATAGTTAGGAATATAAAAGTAGTTCAGACTTTGCTTAGATGAACTGTAGTAATGAACTGCAGGCAATGATCTTTAAGATTGAACTCCATAAGCAAATAAATCATAAAGGGAGCAACCATTTTTATCTCCAAAATTATATCTAGAGACAGTAGTCAAAGACAAGTGTTCAAGGCAGTAGAATAGTTTATGCAATACAATGTATCACACATTATTTGTTTTTTGTAAAGATTTAATAAACAGTACGTACTTGTTTGACTATGGAAAAAAAAAAAAAATAAAATAAAATCAATTATTAATAAAATTAATATATACAATATAATATAAGTTGAACTTGGATTATACTTTAATAAAATTTAATTGAATTAAGTTTTTTATTTTAATTATAAGTCAAACTCAAGCTTAAACAAAACTTAATTTAACTTGACTTGTTTAGAGTTCTATATTATATCTTGTTAAAAAGATTACAATTTCAATACCTACTAAATTAATGTATAAAATAACTTTATATAAGAAATAATATTTAATAGATTATAATATCAGATATTATATAGGTTCTATTTAATTACCTTTACCTAGAATTAAATTGGTATTTTGTGATCTAATTTGTAAAGCACTAATTACTGTATTATAAATTTACAGATTTAAATATAATATTGTAATTTATATAAAGAATAATAATTTTTATTCTTATATTTTTTGTAATTTAAATTTTTATTATTTAAAAAGTTTATTAATAATTTTTAAAAATAATTTTTATAAAAAAAAAAATATAAATTTTAAAAAAAAACCCTTTTCCACTCCCTCCTCAATACTTGAAAATTTCCTTTTTAAGAAATTTTTGAGTTTTTTACTTTTCTTCGTCTTTTCTTTTTTCCTTCTTTTCATTTTCCCTTCCCACTCCTGTTTATTTCTTCTCCCTTATGCTTTCCCCTATCTTCTTTATACTTTTTTTCATCTATATTCCCTTTCCCTCCTCTTATTCCTCTTCTTGCTGAAATTAGGTTTTTTCCTTTTATTTAAAGGTTTTTCTTTCTAGGTTTTTCTTTTTTTTAAAAAATTCACTCTTCATAACATCAATTCTCTGGCCAGTTGATTTCCTTTTTTTAAGAGTCATATCAAGAAGTAATAACTTCTTTCAAGATATGGGCTTCAGAAAATTTCTTCCTTCCATGGTTTTTTAGAAAAAGGATGAATGGTTTACTTCTTCAAAAGATCAACATGGTTATTATTATCAAATCTGATATTGTTTACTAAGTGATGGCTTTTTTAGACTGGATACATCTAAGAAACCAGTGTACAACTATTATTATTTGAAAGTACTTAAGGGGTTACACTCCACTATTTCCAAAGTGATGTGATAGCCAATGTCAATACACTAATATAATGCTAGATTAGTTGCAGGTGCCATACTGGTGGTTGAAAAAACTTAGTAAGATAGTATATGAGATTAGAGATTCCAGTTACCTCCACAACACGGGCTGGTGATGACTATGAAAGTTCTCTACTTACCTCTCTGGCAATACAGATCCGGTGTATAAGGTTAAGTATCAACACTTATAAGAAAACTTCTACTTCTTTATATTCAACACTCTTTTCAACAATTCAATACTTCACGTGTAAGTCTTCTCTCTTTATTTTTCAGGTTTGAACTATTCTTTAACCAAAACATACCCTCCAGAACTATCTTATAGCAAAGTTAATTGCCACCTCTCAGCCTAAAGTCCTAATGATGGGTTTGAATAAAGGATCAATATTAGGTGCAGTTGGTGAAAGATTAACTTTACTTCAGAATGGTATTGGTAATGGAGTTGGTTGCCATCCTTCAGCCTAAAGTTCTAGTGATAGATTTGAATAAAGGATCAATACTAGATACAGTTGGTGAAGAACCAACAATATTTTGATATGGTTTGTTTCTAGTGTAGTTTGAATTCAACACTTTTATTTGCTTGCCAGACATCAAGCCATATTTGAAAAGCAAGCATGCCAATCCTAATTATAATTTGGAGGCAAACCTGTATATAGTGACTGCAGTGCCTTCATGTAACTACATATCATTTATTCTAGGTAGTTAGACACTATTCAAAGTTTAATATAGGTTTTGAAATTTGTTTTTCCTGTATTTTTGGGTGGTGCTAAGAAGCGCAGGCAGATGGGCCCTTATGGTAGGTCTTATGTTAAACCCTTTCTAGCAAGAGAGATATATACTGCATACTAAGTATAAAATCTTGCCCTGTTACAAGTCTAAAATTTTATAATAAAAATATATGCAGGGAGCTGCCTGCTTCTTCAAAAAAAAAAATAATAATAAATAATTTTTATAAGATAAATATATTCTATATTATTAATAAATTATTATTTATTTAAAAAATATTAATATTATTTAATTTTTATTATTTATATATCTTTTTATTTATACCTTTATCTGATATTTTTTTAATTGTTATTTACCTAACTTAGTCCGGTTCAATCCTAGCTTAGACTACCACCGGATTGGATCGGATGGACTAATTAACATCTATAATCATGTGTTAACTGGCCAATAAATCTCCGAGACATAAAAATAATTGTAGAATATATCTTTAGATTAGATGGAAGGTTATTATACATATATACGAATTCCGCAAAATCAAAATAAACAATTTTCCTGGTTGGCGCACTTCATTCGATATTGTTTCCATGGAGAAAGAAAATAGTCAAGTACAATTTCCAACAGGATTTGTCAAGACGACAGACATTAAAGCACCAGAAGTAAGAAATGAATGGTACAAAATGTTGTGATCCGCGAGTTCACAGAAACTCACGAAACGATCCTTTGAAGGTTCGTCACGAAGTAGCCCATGGAAAACTTCCTTACGATTTTTCAAAGCCCATCGCACGAACGGGTGAGCCTGCTAGAATATACCCATTTACTTTAGACCCTTTTCAAGAAAAGGCCATTGCTTGTATTGAACGGGGGGAATCTGTTTTGATTAGTGCCCACACCTCGGCTGGTAAGACGGTTGTTGCGGAATATGCTATTGCTCTAAGCTTAAGAAACAGGCAGAGAGTCATTTACACGAGTCCAATCAAGGTAAATTTAAGTATAGATTGAGCTTTATTTACAATTTTATTTCATTAACCTATTAACATTATTTAGGCTCTAAGTAACCAAAAATATCGAGAGTTACAGTATGAATTCAAGGATGTCGGCTTAATGACTGGTGATGTGACTCTTAATTCAAGTGCTAGTTGCCTAGTGATGACCACAGAGGTCAGCATTCCATTTATCGATAATAATAGTTATTCGAATGTATTTATAAATGATATTCATCTATTTCAGATTTTACGTAGTATGTTATATCGAGGTAGTGAAGTCTTACGTGAAGTTGCATGGGTTATATTTGACGAAATTCATTATATGCGAGATAAAGGTATCAAATTATTTCTTGTTTTTCATATTAATCAAATATATATATCAAAGGTCTTGCATCTACATAGTGCGTGGAGTTGTTTGGGAAGAGACTATCATTTTATTGCCACACAACGTACACTTTGTCTTCTTGTCTGCTACAATTCCAAATGCTCTTGAATTTGCCGAATGGATATGTGATATTCATCAACAGGTAATGTTTAGAGTTTTTGCCTGATATATTTGATTCAAATGTTTTCATTACCAATAATAATATTATTATAAAGCCATGCCATGTGGTATATACCGAGCTACGTCCAACGCCTTTGCAGCATTATCTTTTTCCTGATGGTGCAGATGGAATATATCTAGTAATTGATGAAAATGGTCGTTTTCGCGAAGATAACTTCCAAAAAGCAGTTTCTATATTAGAAAATGATCAGGAGAAATCTATATTTAATGGACGCAATAAAAAAAGTATATTACTTAATTTTTTATATGGATCTTTTAAATATTTTCTGAATATTTCTGACTCTTATTATAAAGGTCAATCTGAACAGACTAATGTGTTCAAACTCATTAAAACTTTAATGGTGAAAAATCTTAATCCTGTTATTGCCTTTGCTTTTTCCAAAAAGCAGTGCGAGAATTTAGCGAGGCAAATGAGCACTATGGATTTCAATAATGGTGTGTACTAATAATTTCAAATAATTTAACTTTTATGGAAGCTGATCGCGATTCATTTTATTGTATGTGTACTGTTAGGGGATGAAAAGGAGCTAATAAAAAAGGTTGTTGATAATGCCATTGACTTGTTAGCAGAGGAAGATCGAGACTTGCCATGGTTCCATAACTTATTACCGCTGTTACAACGTGGTATTGGTGTACACCATTCGGGTTTAATACCTTTTATGAAAGAAATTGTAGAGCTTTTATTTCAGGAGGGCTTAATAAAAGTGCTGTTTGCCACGGAAACATTCGCTATGGGATTAAACATGCCCGCGAAGACAGTGGTATTCTGTGAACTTTCTAAGTTTGATGGTACAAAGGCAAGAAATGTAAGCTTAACATGAACTTAGTATAAGATTTTATACTTGTGTAATCACTTATATCTCAATATTCTCGAGAGATAGATAACGTCTGGCGAATATATTCAAATGTCTGGTCGTGCTGGTAGAAGAGGATTGGATGCACGTGGTTTTGTTGTGATGAATGTGGATCATAATATTTCACCCAAGGAATTACAAGAAATCTTCAAGGTACTGCGGCAGTAATTTTCGTTTATGTTTTATTGTAATTCACTTATTAAGACCTTATTTGTGATAATTATATACCTTAATAGGGTGAAGCCGATCATCTAATTTCAGCTTTCCATTTGAAATACCATATGATTCTTAATATGTCAAGAATCGAAGGTATAAGCCCTGAACACATGTTAGAACACAGCTTCTATCAATTTCAAAATGCTGCCCCTATACCGCGTTTGAAAGATGGTAATTGATTTTTCTAAAGAGTTATCTTTCTTTTTATGCTTAAAATAGTTTAATAGCAAGTACTTTATTTCTTAGAGTTGTTGAGATTAGAGGAGTCTTCACTGATTAACATACCTAATGAAGAAACCGTTGTTCTATATCATAATCTTCGAGTACTTTATGAAGATTATGAAAGTCGCTTAAGAGATATTATTTTTGAACCTCAAAACTGTTCGAAATATTTACAACTTGGGCGAGTGGTTAAGGTTAAAATCAATGATATGGACTTTGGATGGGGTATAATAGTACGCTATGAAGAAAGAAAGGTAAGGAATTTAGATGAAGCTTTGGTTTTTATATGGGTACATTAATAAATGCCTTATACTTGATTACTTAACAAAGCGCCAAATGTCCTTATCTGTCGGTACCATGTTGTTAGCTCACCCCAAAACCAAACAGAAAGAGGAAGTGACAATCATAGTCCGAGTATTGTTAAAAGTTTCTGCTGATTCATATACCAGTTATGACGGAAGAGAGGTTGATGTTAGGCCATGCCCGCCGAACCAACCAGGAATATGTCTGGTATTTTCAACGACTTTATATTGCATTTATATTATTATGGATTCTAATTTTTGAATTTATGTTGAAGGTTATACCAGTGGATTTAAAGAATTTGCAAGTTTTGAGTCAATATAGATTTTATCCAGGTGATGATTTGGAACATGAGGTTTCCCAGAGACAAATAACATATAAAGGTGTTCAAGATCTCATCAAGCAAAATCCTGATGGTAAGCCGTTGGATCCTATAGAGCATATGGAAATCAAAGATAGAAGACTTGATGATCTAATCCAAGTAAGATTTTATTTATCTGAATATGTTTATCTACATAACCTTATTCACTTTTTTTTTTTGTTTATCAACAGAAATTAGGTGTAATTAAATCTCAACTTGACTGCAATCCAACTGCTGACAGCCCGGAAATATATGAACTTTATCTCAGGAAACTTGCTATAAAAGAAAAAATTTTAGATGTCCAGAAAAAGCTTAGAAATTCCGAATTAATATTACATCTTGATGAATTAAAAAAACGAAAGCGTTTACTTAGAAGGCTGGGATATCTTTCCAAAAATGATGTAGTTGAATTCAAAGGACGTGTTGCATGTGAAATTACTTCGGGCGACGAATTGGTACTGACAGAGTTACTTCTGAATGGAATTTTTAATGACCTCTCTTCCGAAACGACTGCTGCTTTGTTGAGTTGTTTTGTGTGCGATGAGGTAGTGGCTTCACAAAAAGAACAACCTCCTGTTCCCCTTTCTGAAGAATATTCGGGATTGTTTCGTCAAGTCCAAGCAACTGCTCGAAACATAGCTGATTTAACTGAAGAATGTGGCATTCCCATTGATAAAGACATATACCTTGCAAGCTTTTCTTCAGACTTGATGGATGGTGTATTTCATTGGTGCAAAGTAAGTAGCTGTGATTTCTTTGATTTTTTATTATTTGGCTTACGTTCTTGAGCTTATATCGTAGAACGCTACTTTCAAAGAAACTTGTGCTCGCATAAATATGTTTGAAGGCAATATTGTGCGAAACTTTAGAAGCTTGGACGAATTATTACGTGCAATGGTTTCAGCGGCAAAAATAATAGGTACATACGAGCTAGAATGTAAGTTTTCTGAGTCGCGAGAAAAGCTCAGGAGAGGAATAATCTTTGCTGCATCATTGTATCTCTAAACTGTACAAGCTGTTTGTACTATTGGGCCCGCATGAAGTAAATAAAAAATATAGCAATTAGCATTGTTTGGTATATTGCAATATGTTTAATGAATCATATATTTTTTACAAGTATTCTTAGACTTGTCAAATACTTAATGATTTTTACAAAAATAAATTAATTGATATGTATAAATTCAAAAAACCCAAATAAGGAAAAAGAAGGTAAACAATAGTTAGCTATTAATACAAGTTCAAATTAGATTATTTAACTGGTAAATTATAGTATGGTAAAGTTTTATTGATTATTAAAAAAAGTATTTAGCAATTAAAAAAAAACATTTGACAATTAAAAAAAGAAACATTTAGAAATAAAATATTTACAATTAAAAAACACTTGACAATAAAAAAATTAAATATTTGACAATAAAAAATTACAATATTTGAAAAAAAAATTCTTTTTCATTTTTCTTTTGTTACTTGAAATTTTCTTTTTTAAAAAAAGTTAAGATGTTTGCTTTTTCTTTTTCTTTTAATCTTTCCTTTCCTATTTCTTTTTTCTTATCTTTTTTTTACTTTTTTTACTTTTTTTCTTTTAATATTTAAACTCTTTTTAATATATTTTTCTTTTTATTTCTTCCTTTTTTGCCAAAGTCAGGTTTTTTTTTTCTTTCTAAAGTTTTTTCTTTTTAGATCTTTTCTTTTTTTGAAATATCATTTTTCATTTTATCACTTCTTGATTAATAGGTTTTCTTTTTTCAATAACTATTAAGAAGTAGCAACTTTTTTCAAAATATGGGTTTCAAAATTTTTTTTTCATTCATAATTTTCAAAAAATTAATATAATTATTATTATCAAATCTGATATTATTTATTTGTTAATAGTTAAATTAGATATATTTAAAAAATCATTGTATAACTATTATTATTTGAATATTCAAAAAATTATATCTTACAATATTAAAAAAAAAACAATAGCTAATATTAATATAATAATATTAATGTTAGGTTGTTAAGTATTATGCTAGTAATTGTTAAAATTTAATAAGATAATATATAGTAACTAGAAATTTTAGTTATCTTTTTAAACAAAATTAATAATAACAATAAAATTTCTTACTTATTTCACAATAATATAAATTCATTATATAAGATTAAATTTTATTATCTATAAAAAAATTTTCAATCCAATTTACTTATAAAACAATTTTGTCATATTTGAAATATAAATATATTAAATTTTTTTTGTAACTTGAGAAAATCAACTTATATAAAATAAGTAATTATTAAGATTTGAATTAAGTATCAAAATAGTACTAACTTAATACTAACTTACACTAGTCCAAATTGGATTATTCGGCTGCCGAATTACAACCGATTAAATCCAAATTTATTAATAAAAGTTTATACCGAAGTTTTG